CTCTTCGTCGGCTTCTCCGGCTCCTCGCCCAACACGAGTGGCCGCGACGGCACCTCGTCCCGCGGATCGCGCTCCTGCTCCGCCTGCCTAAACCAAGGCCCTCAACCGAGTACACACAACGAAGAAAGTCCGACAATTTTATTTAGCATAGTTTTATCTATAGTAATAGACGACCCACTTCAACAACAACAACCAGCGCGCTCCTGTCTTATGCGTCTCAGTGACCACTCGGCATGGACCTATGCAATGCACTGTACAGGTACTGCATATTAATATTGGTAGGAACTTCCTGGTGACACCAGCCCACAGGCAGCATAAACTCCTCAGCTGCATTCTCATTGGTCAAGCGCCGAGAAAGGCAACGCAGAAAACGCCCGTGATAACGAAAGCTGCCGACATCTACCAAGCAGTGGCATTTCGTGAACACACGAGCAGCCCACAATGCATTTCTACTAGCACCCTCCACCGGAACTGAGTGTGGCACTGTCGATTGCGAGTGATTCCGGCGCGAAAAAGCAAGACGTGAATGCTCCAACATTAGACAACGACCCACTTCAGCAATAACCAACATCATGGGAAGGAAGACTGAGCCCCCGAACATGTCCCATCCGGATACTACGGCTTGAAAGCTATGGGTTTCGCAACGGTCAACATTACCGGAATGGAATTACTGGTAGCCCCGATCAACCCTGAGGTTCGAACAAGTGGGCTGCCAAGTGAGCCGAAGAGAGCTACAAAGAGGGTGCTTGGTCTTCCGCAGCATGCGTTTGACTGACAAGGAGTTGACCCTTCGAATCGCAATCTAGTACTGATGAACCAACAGCCCGTTGTGGGCCGGCCGCCATGGGAGTTACGATAAGTATAGTCACGAAGGGACCTCCTCGGTGATTGGCAGCTGAACAGTCGCTGCCAACAGTCGCATTTTTGTGGTGGCTTCATAAATCGAATTTCATGAGAGCGCGCTTTGGTCTCCTGTTCGCCGTGGTCGCTGCCTCGCGATCTGCCGTCGACGATCACGAAGTGCCCACTGATCCCATAGGTACCCCGGACAAGGCCAATGCAGACAGTCAAGCCAGCGCTACGGTGGTCGACAGCACCGCAGCGAGGTCATTAACAAACAACTACCCGAGTGGCTACAACGTCAACGGCGGCTACGAGAGTGGCCCGTACGACGGCTACAACGACGGCCCGTACGACGGCTACAATGACGGCAAGTACGGCCAGGACGACGGCTACAACGACGGTCCATACGGCGGCTACAAGAACGGCCCGTACGATGACTACAACGACGGCAAATACGACGGCTACAACGCTAACCGCGGCTACAATGCCAACGGTGGCTACAAGAACGGCCCATACGGCGGCTACAAGAACGGCCCATACGGTGGCTACAAGAACGGCCCATACGGCGGCTACAAGAACGGCCCGTACGGCGGCTACAAGAACGGCCCGTACGGCGGCTACAAGAGCGGCCCGTATGACGGGTACAAGAACGGTAAGTACGGCCAGGACAGTGGCTACAACGGCTATGGGGGCTACAAGAACGGGTTGTACGGTGGCTACAACGACACCGGCGGCAGCGCGGATTTTAACTACACGACTATTGTGTATGTCCCCGGCGGCAACGTCAGCGCGGACACCAACGACACGATTCAATACGTCCCCGGCGGTGGCAACACGGACGGTTATTACAAGCGCGATGACACCTACAAGAGCGATTTCCGCGGTGCGGACTACGGTTATAACGGTGGTTACGACTCGCACAACTATTGGTCGCGCAACAGCGCCGACGCGCCTCCATACCTTGCAGAAAGCCCAAGTCAAGGGCAGCGGTACCCGGACGTTGACCACACGAGCGACTACGTCTATGGCCACTACACCGACTCGGACGACGGATGCCCATCCCAGCCGTGCCACGAGCTCGCGACGGTCGAGCACGGCAAGTGCGTGTACCGGCAGCTCGCGCCAGGCACGTTGTGCGCCGGCCAGAGCTGCAACAACGGCGGGCCCTGCGACGACGACGAGAAGGACTACTGCGACAGTACCGGCACGTGCGTCGACGGCTACCGTATCGAGACTTACGTCCCTTGCCGTCCAGCGGTGAGTGCCTGCGACGTGCCCGAGTACTGCAACGGCAAGCAAAGCCAGTGCCCGATGGACAGGTTCTCTCCGCGGACGCAAAAGTGCATCGGTCACTCCAACGGCGGCGATTGCGACACGACCGACTACTGCGACGGCCGTGGCCACTGCGTCGACGCCTTTCGCGGCCCGAGCTTCGTCTGCCGTCCGGCGCGCGACGACTGCGATGCGCCCGAACGCTGCTCCGGGCACAGCGGTAAATGCCCACGCAACAGTTTTGCAGACAAGAGCACTGACTGCACCCGCTTGGGCAAGTCGTCGAGAGGTCCTTGCGACGCCCGCGATCGCTGCGACGGCAAGGGCAACTGCATCGACCGCTTCCACGGCCCCGATCACGTCTGCCGCAAACCACGCGACGTGTGCGACGTGCCCGAGTACTGCACCGGCGACAGCAACGCGTGTCCCGACGACGAGTTTGCCGACACGTCGGTCGTTTGCACTGACATTGGTGACTCGTCCCACGGCTCGTGCGACGGTGTCGACTACTGCGACGGTCGCGGCAACTGCATCGACCGGTTCCTCGACTGCGACCAAATCTGCCGAAAGCAACATGACGTCTGCGATCTCCCTGAGTACTGCACGGGCGTCCACGGCAGCTGCCCGCGCGACGAATTCGCAGACTCGGGCACGGTGTGCACGCCGATTGGGGCGTCGTCCAACGGCCCTTGTGACGCGATCGACTATTGCAACGGCCGCGGCACGTGCATCGACAACTTTAACGTCGACACACTTTGCTACAATCCTCGGGGGTTCTGCGACTCGGGGCGCTTCTGCGACGGCACATCGGGGGCGTGTCCCGCCGCCGGCTACGACCGCGAGTACGTGCTTCTCGCCGACGACGCCAGCATGACCGAGGTTATCATGCAAAGCTTTCGCCTGTGCTCGGCCAAAGTCACGGAAGGTCTCGTCTCGGTCGACGGCGCCATGCCGAGCCACTCGGTCTATGTGCTTCTTGCCGGTGTCGCCCTTGTTGCGGTTGTCGTTGCGATCGTTGTCACCAAGGTCAAACCGTTGTTGGGTGTTGGAAAGAACGACGACTACACCCTCGTTACCGAAACTGTCTAGCTCGTTTTCGTGGGCCCACGCTCTATGTCCATGTAGAATAGGTATGCCAAACTGGACCAAGCGACTACGTAACAAAATTATATTTGCGACGACTGAAGTTGTTGTGTGGCTGACACGTCTCCCCACCACGGTAGCCAACGTGGTGTAGCGGAGGAGTCGCTCGTCCTGAACATATAAAAAAAGTGTGTAAAGGAGTGTAAGAAAAGATACACGAAACCGACAATTGAAGGCGAGCGTCAGTGACATTAACTGGTCAAGTCGAGAACCACGAGCACCCTGAGGTTCGAGAAGCGTGGGTCACCGAGAGTGCTGAACTGAGCTCCAAAGAGTGTACTAGTACTTCGTCTTTCACAGCATGCGTTGGACTGAAAAGGAGTTGTCTCATCGAATCGCAATCTTGTAACTGCCCGTTGTAGGCAGCAGGTTGAGAGAATCGCATGTTGCGAGCTCCAGCGCCATTGCTGCTGATACAAATACCGCAGTGTCGCAACGCAAGAGTTCTACACTGTCAATCCCTGCACCGGGTCCAAGTCTAACGCTTCCCGCCGACACATCACGGAAGGATACCATGACAAACACACGCGAAGGCACCAAGGGACCTCCTCGGTGATTGGTAGCTGAACAGTCATTGCAATAAAACGCGCATCGCTTCGGTTGCACATACCGAATTCCATGAGAGCGCGCTTTGGTCTCCTGTTCGCCGTGGTCGCTGCCTCGCGATCTGCCGTCGACAATCACGGCGTGCCCACTGATCCCATAGGCACCCCGGACAAGGCCAATGCAGACAGTCAAACCAGCGCTACGGTTGTCGACAGCACCGCAGCGAGGTCGTCAACAGACAACTACCAAAACAACTACACCAATGGACGCAAGTACGGCCAGGACGGTGGCTTCAACCGCATTGGGGGCTACAAGAACGGCTTGTACGGTGGCTACAACGACACCGGCGGCAGCGCAGATTTCAACTACGCTACTATTGTGTATGTCCCCGGCGGCAACGTCAGCGTGGACTCCAACCACACGACTCATTATGTCCCCGGCGGCGGCAACACGGACGGACATGACAAGAGCGATGACACCTACAGAAGCGATTTCCGCGGTCCGGACAACGATCATGCTGGTGGCTATGCCTCGCACAACTATTGGTCGCACAACAGCGCCGACGCGCCTCCGTATCATGCAGAAAGCCCGATTCAAGGGCAGTGGTACCTGGGCAGTAACTACACGAGCAATGACGTCTATGTCTATGGCCACCTTGCCGACTCGGACAACGGATGCTCATCCGTGCCGTGCCTCGAGCTCGTAAAGATCAAGCACGGCAAGTGCTTGTACCGGCAGCTCGCGCCAGGCACCTTGTGCGTCAGCCAAAGCCGCCACAACGGCGGGCCCTGCGACGACGACAAGAAGGACTACTGCAACAGTCGCGGCACGTGCGTCGACGGCTACCGTACCGAGACCAACGTCCCTTGCCGCCCACCGGTGAGCGCCTGCGACGTGCCCGAGTACTGCACCGGCGACAGCAACGCGTGTCCCGACGACGAGTTTGCCGACACGTCGGTCGTTTGCACTGAGATTGGCGCCTCGTCCCACGGATCGTGCGACGGTGTCGACTACTGCGACGGTCGCGGCAACTGCATCGACCGGTTCCTCGACTGCGACCAAATCTGCCGAAAGCAACATGACGTCTGCGATCTCCCTGAGTACTGCACAGGCATCGACGGCAGCTGCCCGCGCGACGAATTCGCAGACTCGAGCACAGTGTGCACGCCGATTGGGGCGTCATCCAACGGTCCTTGTGATGCGATCGACTATTGCAACGGCCGTGGCACGTGCACCGACAACTTTAACGTCGACACACTTTGTTACGATCCTCGGGGGCTCTGCGACGTGGCGCGCTTCTGCGACGGCGCGTCGGCGGCGTGTCCTGCAGCAGGATATGGCCGCGAGTACGTACTTCTCGCCGACGACGCCAGCATGACCGAGGTCATCATGCACAGCTTTCGCATGTGCTCGGCCAAAGTCGCCGAAGGTCTCGTCTCGGTCGACGGCGCCATGCCGAGCCACTCGGTCTATGTGCTTCTTGCTGGCGTCGCCCTTGTTGCGGTTGTCGTTGCGATCGTTGTCACCAAGGTCAAGCCGTTGTTGAGTTCTGGAAAGAACGACGACTACGCCCTCATTACCGAAACTGTCTAGCTCGTTCGTCGCCGTGCCCCCGGCCCTATATGTCGATGTAAAATGTGTATGGCAAGCGACTACGTAAGGAAATTGTACAAGTATTTGTGACGACTCGAGTTGCTTGGTTGCCGCTGACAAGTACTGCTGGTATCCTTCGAGGTCCTGGTGTGCACTTGAGGGTCACCAGCACGAGTCGCGTATCCTGAAGAAGACTAGATGATGTCCACCAGCAATAGTTGATGCAGCAGCCATGGTCATTCCAACGCCATTGATTGCACTTCGAAGCGAACACGCCAAGGTTCATGCCGCTAGCAGGTCATCGTAGCTTGTGCAATCTAGCTGCCATGGCCAATCCGGACACCGGGACATCACTACATTAGCCGAAATGAACCTCATGAACACATCTCGTTTAGTCAACGGACTACGCAATACAAGCACGACTAGACTGCATGGAATACCTTGTAGACGTCGCATACCGATCACGTGTACCTTGCATGGTAAGCTCCGCACGAATCGAAGCGCTGTCGTGGCTCGCGAAGGTTCCATCGACCATCATTCCACGAGACCAGCATTCTTTTATAAAACCGGACGGCGGCCACAATTGGTTTTGCCTCGCCCGCCCCATGCTGCAGCTCTCGTCGACCTTGGCCCGCGTCGCGCGCCGCGTGTCGCCCTCGCGCGCCGTCCGCGCCGCCTTCTCCACGAGCCCAGACCTCTGGGAGACCATCCAGCGCCGCGACGGTACGCCTTCTACCGTCTCTGACGCACGGCGCATCACCATGGTAGGCCGCACCATGTATTTCAACAAGGTGACAAAGGAAGGCACGTTCAAGAACCCGTTCGAGGCGGCGCCGGTGACGACGCCCGCGACGGCGGCCTCGCCTGAAGCGCCGGCCGCGGCGACCGAGGCGACCGACCTCCAGGAAGCCGACAACTGGGAACCGATCGACTTTGCCAAGGCGGCGCGCATCGAAGGCTCCGAGTCGCAAATGTACGACGGAGCGTCGATCCATACGTTCTCATAGTCTGTGCAGCGTTCACGTAGGTGACTGGAGGGCGCTGCCGCCTCGACGTGGCTTGAGCACGCACTCTGGCTGTATAGATTGACATTGGTCCCAAGCAGAAGCTGCGCACCGAGAGCGGCGCGATGATCTACATGACGGACGGCGTCGAGATGGATACGACGACGGCCGGCGGCTTTCGCCAAGGTCTGACGCGGTACGCCATCTCTCTACACGCAACATCAACTCAAAGGTGGTACTCTCTATGTAGCATGGTCACGGGTCAAAACTTTTTCGTGACCGAGTACACGTACAAGGGCTCGTCCAAGGGCACGGTCGCAATGGGCACCTCGGTTCCCTCCAAGGTACACGCCGTGTTCTGCTCGGCTCTCCATTTTTTGCCCAACTTAGATTTTGCACATGCGTCTCGACGATTTTGGCGGGTCACTCATTTGCCAGAAAGGCGCGTTTCTGTGTGGCAGCCACACGATTGGCATTGAAATGGTTTCGATCGACCCATCTCACGCTACATGGTCTTGATGCATTGCATTGTAGGAGTTTACCAAGAACTTTGGCGCGGGCTTTTTTGGCGGCGAAGGCTTTATTCTCCAGCGCCTCAACGGACCTGGCGACGCGTTCATTTCGGCCAACGGCGCGCTCATTGAACGCACGCTCGCGCCGGGCGAGGTCCTTCGCATCTCGAGCGGCTGCCTCGTCGCGTTTGAACCGAGTGTGCACTTTGACATTAGCCGTGTCGGCGGCGTCAAGAACGTTCTCTTCAGCGGCACCGGCCTCTTTGTGACGACGCTCACAGGTCCCGGCCGCGTCTACTTGCAAGGGCTTCCGTTCGACCGCATGGTCGGTGAAATCGCGTCGCGCATTCCTGGCGGCGGCGGTGGTCCGATCATCATGCCGATGGGTCTCGGCGGCGGCAGTGGCGCGGCCGATGCGGCCGGTGGCGCCGTGGCTGGCGACGTGGCCGGTGGCGCGATCGCTGGTGACGGCCTTGACGCGCCGATTGCGTCGTCGCCGTCGGATGCATCCATGTTTGGCATGTCGGACGCGCCCCCAGCGGACGCTGGATTCCAAGAGGCGAGCGGTTTTGATGCGCCGCCCGAGATGGACGCGGACCCGAACGAGTTTGTTGCAGAAGAGTTTGACACGGACGCCGCGAGCGACACGGTCGAAGCCGTCACCGATTTTTTCAAGCGCTTCTTTTGAGCGACAACGAGCTAATGACATCAGCGATAGCAATCAACAATGAGCAGTATGCAATGCATTGCAGAGGAGCTAGCCTAGAACGGTGTTCTAGGCGCTCTCTCTTCTTCGAACGTTCGCGGTTGGGGCCATGAGTTGGGGCAATGGTGTCTGTGTGGATCGAATCGCAGCTTTTATGCCCGGCGTGCCCCTTCCTCCCTTGTTGATTGTACGGGAGCTCTATAGGTATAACTGTTGAACATGACATGGGCAGGTCAGTTCACATGCAGTACGTAGACAATGAAGGGCTCAGTCCAGAGCTTATCCAGGAGTGAGAAGCACGAGGCTAGGTCTCCAAGTGTCCGGCCATCATCACCACTAATATCCGGAAGCTGCCTTCCGGATTCCCGCCATCTAGAATATTCGAGAATACTCCATTAGCAGACCCTTGGAGGTTGTCTTGTTGTACGTGGCTAGTATCAACTAACCGATGCACACCTTAACACACCTGATGATACCAATTGTTCCATCCCCAAGTGATAGAACGCCTTGTGTATCCTCTTGGCTAGCGCCTATAACTCTGCAAGTTAACAATAACAAACCCACGCTACAGCGCAACGCCAGAGGCCATTGGAAGCTTCATACAAAAGGTGCGATTTTTGTGCCGCAATGCTGGATTCGACTGATTTGATGGAGGGATCCTCCTCAAGAGTGGAATGATTCTAAGTCGATTCGCCATGAGCCTACCAAATGGCGCCGTGTTGGGCCAAAGGTTGAAGGGTGTTGGGCTGTGCTCGTGTACGTGAACGCCAGCGCTGTGCGGTAGAAAGCAACCGGACCTGTCGTCCTACACTTGTCCCGGGTGCGATCACGAGACGGGCCGTCCGGCGCGTGCACCAGCTGTTCATCAGTCCCACCTAGCGTCGCAACCACCGGCGTCGTTTCATTGGCCACAAGAAGCCCAATTCGCACAAGTAGTACCTTGGTGGCACTGGCTAAACGCACGCCACTGGAATGACCTTCCGATGGCATCCTTTTCTGCAGAAACACGCACAACAGACCCAACATGCTGTGTGCGCACTATACATACGCTTGGACGTGGCTGCAGAGCGTCGTCAAGTGCATCAACCCTGCGAACGGCGCTGCGAACGCCACCGACGTTGTATAACGTCACGCTTGAAATGCGGTGTTTTTAGACATATGCGGAAGCTGCGTGGATCTGGGACAAGCCATGGTATCGAAACCCCAGCCAAGGAAAACCAAGGAGATTCGTGGCCACGAGCGTCGCTCCTGCTTGCATGAATTTACACATATAGTACTATCGCTCTGCAGGCATTCCAAGGGTCGCTGCCCAACGGTCCGCGGTACTTGACTGCGCCTACGGTATCCCACAGTAGGACGCGCCCCAACCGCAACAGCGTTTTGTTCGGTCAACCGCCACGATGTGCGCACCCTCTCAAGTGCGCTTTTCGATTGTCCGACGTACTTGAGCGAATAAAACCGCACTTGATGGAATAAAACCGCACTTGATCGAGCTTGCGCGGTTGGAACCAGTGGTCGCGGCGCATGATCATGTAAACACGAATTCGGCACCTCGCACCGAAGTTTCACTTTGCATTTCGGATCCAAGATCACATTTCACACACCATGAACTCGGAGCCCCTCGTGACGCGCAACCTGGACTTTGACGAAGGCCTCGGCCAGGACGGCCGGTCGGCCCTTGACATCTTCGTCAACAAGAACAACGGCGTCGGCGTCACGTACGACGACTTGATCATGATGCCTGGTAGGTCCCACATTGCACTTTGGAATGGGCACTCAAATAAGATCTCATAGGGCACATTGACTTTGGCGTCGACGAGGTCACGCTCGAGACCAAGATCTCGCGCAACATTAGCCTCCGCCTCCCGCTCATCTCATCGCCGATGGACACAGTCACGGAGCACAAGATGGCGATTGCGATGGCGCTACACGGCGCGATCGGTGTCATCCACTACAACATGACGGTCGAGGAACAGTGCCACGAAGTGTCGCTCGTCAAGAAGTTCAAGAACGGCTTCATCCTCAACCCGATCTGCCTCGCGCCCACCGACACGCTCGAGAAGGTCGACAGCATCAAGGCCGAGTACGGCTTTGCCGGCATCCCGATCACGGAGAACGGCAAGGTCGGCTCGAAGCTCCTCGGCATGGTCTCGAACCGCGACATCGATTTCATCGAGAAGCGCCAGACGCTGCTCAAGGACGTCATGGTCACGGACCTCATCACGGCCCGCGAAGGCACGAAGCTCGCGGAAGCCAACGAGATCTTGAAGACCAACAAGCTCGGCAAGCTCCCGATCGTCAACGCCAAGGGCGAGCTCGTCTCGCTCATCTCGCGCCGCGATCTGGTCAAGAACCGCGACTTCCCCATGGCGTCCAAGGACCAGAACAAGCAGCTCCTCGTCGGTGCTTCGATCGGCACGCGCCCCAACGACCGCGAACGCGCTGCGGCGCTCATTGCTGCTGGCGTCAACCTCCTCGTCATCGACTCGTCGCAGGGTGACTCGATGTACCAGATTGAGATCCTCCGCCACCTCAAGGCGACCTTCCCGCACGTCGATGTTATTGGCGGCAACGTCGTGACCATGCGCCAGGCCAAGAACCTCATCCTTGCTGGCGCTGACGGTCTCAAGATCGGCATGGGCTCGGGCTCGATCTGCACGACGCAGGAGATCTGCGCTGCTGGCCGCGCCCAGGCCTCGGCCGTCTACAACACGGCGCGCCTCGCGCGCAAGTACGGCGTGCCCGTCATCGCCGACGGTGGCATTGCCAGCTCTGGTCACATCATCAAGGCGCTCTCGGTTGGCGCGTCGGCCGTCATGTGCGGCTCGCTCTTCGCCGGCACGGAGGAGTCGCCCGGCCAGTACTTCTTCCAGGACGGTGTGCGCCTCAAGAAGTACCGTGGCATGGGCTCGGTCGAGGCCCAGGGCCAGGGCTCGGCCAAGCGCTACTTTGGCTCGAACGCGGTCGTCAAGGTCGCGCAGGGCGTGAGCGGCGCCGTCGTCGACAAGGGTTCGCTCAACAAGTACATTCCGTACTTGCAGCAGGGCATCAAGCACGGCTTCCAGGACCTCGGCGTCAAGACGATTGCGCAGCTCCACGAGTTCCTCTACGCCGGCGAGCTCCGTTTCGAGATGCGCACGCCCGCCGCCCAGCGCGAAGGCTCGGTCCACGGCCTCCACACGTACGAGAAGCGCCTCTTTTAAGCAAGATCTCCACCCTTAAAATTACTTTGCAAACTCCACCTCGAGTTGTGTACGATAGTATTTATTACCCTAAAATTTTAACGTGAATTCATGCCCAAGTGCGGTCATGCCCTTTTGTTTCCAGCGTTTTGCTGCCACCACAGCCTGCCACGTCATTTGCACTCTTGGGCTATCACCCGGTCACTGCGCATGCAGCATCAGCCACCATCAAGCTTCCTTGGGTCGTCGTCTGAGGCCGTGGGCGACGCGCTTGGCTACGAGCTGCTCGCTGTCTGTGCGATTGCCAAGCGCCATCAGCTCCGCAGCGACGCGTTGGACCTCAGAATAATATGTCGTTAGCTCTCCAACGCCTGAACTTTTAACGTCAGCGTCGCGAAATTTGATCTGGTCGTTCGGATCGTTCTGGTGTACTACCTACAACGTGGTTTCGGCCCAGCGTTGGACCTGGTGGACTTCGTGGCGACTCCACTCCAGTCTACCGGTAGATTCCACTCGCTCTGGTTCCGGGTCATAGACTGCTGTGTTTCCTCGACACGCGTGGAAGATACTACTAGTATAGGATGGCCGACCAATGTATCAATTGCCACCCTGTACAGTTGGCAAAACTATCAAGTTGATAGATTCGAAGGGCCGATTGTACAAAACATGTATTCGCGCGGGTCCTTCTTATCTCGCGTCGTCGTGCGCGTCATCAATCACTTGGTGCAGGAACCGATCCGAGCCCGTCAACGGGTCGGCGCTCGGCGGCCGCGGCGGACTCGGCGCCTCGTTCGCGTCGTCTGTCGTCGACCGGAAGAGTTCGCGGTTGCGCTGCGCCTTGTGCTCCCCGATAAACGACTAGAGGCATTTGTAAGACGACAAATGAGAGCGCGGCTTACGTGGCGCTTGTACTGGGACGAGGCCGTGTACTGGTTGTTGAGGCGCGAGAAGACGTCGCGCTTGGCTTGCGGCTGCGGCGACTCGACCGCGCCGCCCTCCGAGACACAGTCGCTCATGTGGTGCGCCTTGGAGCGCGACGACTTGGGCTTGGGCGACTCGTACCCGCCATCCGACACCGAGTCGCTGTGGTCTCCGTCCATGTCGCAGTCGTCCATGTCTTGCTCGTTTTCCTACTTTCCAATGAGGCCGAGTTGATACATTGATACTACACCTTTTTCAAGGTCGCGAGCACGTCCATGACGGCCGAGCTGCCGCTGCTGCGCCGGCCCGTATCGATCGGCGGCGGCGGCGGGTGGCGAGGCGTCGACGCGCGTGGCCGGGGCGAGGCCGCTACGTTGAGACTCGGGCTTGGCTGCCGCAGCTTGGACGTGGTGGCCGTCGGCGGTGGCACGAGCAAATTGCGGTCCTTGAGCCTACACCAATGCGTCATGCGCGGAGGATAATGATGACGACGCGTCATTCTTCGATACCGGCGCGAGCGCAGGTTTTGGTTGCGGTTTTTCAAAATCTCGCGCTTCTCGCGGGCGTTCTCCTGGAGCCGGTGGCGGTGGATGCCGGTAAAGTTGGTCGGGTTCGAGAGCCGGTTGAAGATCGACGACGACGTCGGCGCCGTGTCCGAGCTCGCGCTGCCGACGCTCATGTGGTCGTCCATGTCGCACGTCATGTCCACGTCGCCGTCGTCATGGGTCGGTGCGGGCGGCGGGAGACAGCTGCTGCCCGCCTTGTTGTCGACTTGGGCCTCGAGCCACTTGATGCGCTCGCGGCACGTGGCCAAGCCGGCCTTGTACTTTTGCTCGCGCACCTGCAGCGCGGTCTTTTGCGCCTCGCACGCCGTCGCTTGGGCCGAGAGCTCGTCGCACTGGCGCCGCAAGACAGCGACTTGCTCTTCGGACGCGCTCTGGACGAGCCGGGACGGATCGCCGCCCATGGCTTCGGCAATCATCTGCTGGAGCTTCTCTTCGTACGTTTGGCGCATAAAGTTGTTGCGCTCCTTCTCGATGAGCAGCGTCGACTCGATCTCGCCGAGACGCAACAAGGTGCTCTGGAGCTCCGAGTCCTTGGCTTCCTCCTGCTTCTTCACGCCGACCGCCATGCTGAAGAGCAGCTTGAGCAGCGTCCGCGCTTCGGGCAGCGACGACGTTTCCATCTTGGCGATGGCTTCGTCGTCGTCGAGGTCGACGAGCATCGTGCTCGACGCCATCTCCGAGATGCGCTCATCCTTGTACTCGAGCTGGGCTTGGCACGCCTCGATGCGCTCTTCGAGCTCGGCGAGCATCGCCTCCTCTTCCTTTCCGAGCCCGCCATGCGGCGCCTCCGACTTGAGCGGCGAGATGAGGATGTCGCGGATCGCACTCGCGTCGCCTGTCGCGCGCTCGGCCAGCGACGCTTGGAGCTCGTCCTGGAGCTTGTTGCGCTGGCCATAGAGGCGCTCCATTTGCCGCACAATCTTCTCGCGCTTGGCGAGCTCTTCCTCGAGCTGCTCGGCCTTCTTTTGCTGGTCCGCGAGCTTCTTGATCTGCGTCTCGAGCCACACTTCGTCCTTCGAGGGTGTCTTGGCCTTGGTCTTGCGGTTCGTCTGCAGCAACAGCTGCTGCTGCTTGAGTCGGCGGTTCGCGGCCGCGACTTCCTCCATGCGCCGCTTCAAGACCCGCTCCTGCGCGTCTTTTTCACTGCCCAGCTTTTGAATCTGCTTGCGGTCGCGCTGGTGCTCGCGCTTGAGGTTCATAATCTCGCGCTTGCGCTCGTTGGCCTCGACCTCGTACTTTTCCGGTCGGCCTGCATCTTGCGGAGGAGGTCGACCTTCTGGCGCTTCATCGTGCTGATCTCGTTGGTCAAGACGCGCAGCTGCACGTCGCTCTTCTGCTTCATGACCTCGAACCGGCGCATTTCCGCTTGCTTCTTCCGGAGCGCCGAGAGCTCACCGTCTTTGGACACGAGGTCCACCGACAGCTTGTGGTACCGCGGCGGGTCCGACACTTGGTGCGTCTGCATCTCAGCGACGAGGCGGTCTCGCTCGGCCATGAAGACCCGCTCCTTCTCGGCCATCTCCTTGAGCCGCTGCTCAAAGACACCGCGCATGCGTTCGTAGCCTTCTGCGTTGCGCCGCAGCGTCGAGAGCATCTGCTCCTTGAGCGAAATGTTGTTGGAGAGGTCCTGGACCGAGGCGCCGAGGACCTGCTGGCGCTTCTGGAACTCGCGCTGCATGAGCTCCATCTCGATCGAGAGGTTGTCGTCGTCGTCGTCGCCGTTGTCGCCGGCCGTGTCGGAGAAGACGGCTTGCGCTTGGATCTGCTTAAGCATTTCTTGCTCACGCTTGATCTCTTGCTCGGCCTGCTCGATGAGCCGCTGCTCCTCTTCGAGCATGTCGGCGGTCAAGCCAAACGACGCCATGTCCAGCTCTTGGTGCGACGACGACGTCGGGGCAAACATGTGCGCCTTGTCCCGCTCGCCCTCGGCGCACCGGAGCTTCTCCTGGAGCTCCTGGATCGTCTTGAGCTGCTCCTTGACCAGCCCCATCTCTTCGCCGTTCGGGTCGAGGAGACCCGTGCCCGAGGCTTCGCAGCACATGCGAAAGTAGTCGCGCTGGCCCTGCGTCACGAGAAGCTCCTCCTTGATCACATCGGTCTCGTTGCGCCAGCGCTTGATCTCGGACGTGAGCCGGAGCACTTCGTCCTCGGCGGCCTCGGTGCGCTGGCGCATCGAGCCAAAGCTGTCGAGCCGCCACTCGGACGCCGCGGCCTGCACGCGAGGATCGTTCATGTCGGCGCCGGGGTGCCGGAACTGAAAGAGCTCTTCCTGCAGCGACTGCACTTGCGCGCGCAGCTCGGCCACGACCGCCGACGCTTCGTCGCGGTTGATGACGGCCTTGTTCTGGATGTTGCGCGCGCGATTGGCATACATGAGCGAGCTCTTGGACTCGGAGATGTTGCGGCCCGCGGGGCTCACGCAGCAGAGCATGAGCGTGCGGCTGTTGCCGCCGAGCGAGTCTTGCAGCATGCGCGTGAGCTTCGAGTCGCGGTACGGGACGTGCACGCGGCCGCGGCGCGTGTCGTCGCCGAGGGCGTTGATGACGTTGCCGAGCACGAAGAGGCCCTTGTTGATATCAATACCTTCCTTGAGCCGGAGTCCCTCGGCCTTGGTCATCTTCTGCTTCTCCGAGCCCGCGAGATCGACAAAGTTAAAGTAGCAGCTGCGCACTTCGCACTCGGTCTCGGACGACGCGTCGCCAAACGGAATGTGCTGCGTCATCGTGATGGTCAGGATCGCGTGCGACCGACTCGACTCGGCGTTCATGTCGGTGGCGCCGACCGTCCGGCAAAAGCTGCCTTTGTCGAGCAGCTTAATGCACTCGGCGGCCGAGTTGACCGGCTCTTCGCGCGCGCCGTTGACTTGGACTTGGCCCGCCGAGCCTTCCTTGAGCGTGACCTTGGCGTTCGTGTCCAGCGTTCCGTTCCCAAACTGCGAGAGGAGGTCGCGGATGTCGTCGCCGTAGATCTCGAGGAAGCGGAAGGTCACGTCGGCGCGGTAGCCCGGCGTCTCGGTTTGCTTGGCCGCAATGCGCGCAAAGATGTCGTCGAGCGCCCGCGGAATGATGCCCATCTCGTCGCTCTTGGTCGCGAACGCGCTGTTGCCCGAGCCCATCGTGAACGTCTTCCCGGACCCGGTCTGGCCATAGGCGAAGATGGTCGCGTTGTAGCCCTCAAAGGTCGAGTCGACGAGCGGCGCGACGCAGGGCCAGAGGTCGTCCTGCCCGGCCTCCGGGCCAAAGACGTGGTCGTACGTGTACGTGACGTTGCTGGACGGGATCATGACCTGGGCGCCGAAGGTCTCGACTGCATGGTTGTCGTCCTCGAGCTTCTCCTTCGGGACGAGCGGCCGGACCCGGACGACGACGCGGACGCTGCTGCTGGCCTCCATCTCCAAGTCGCAAACCCCCACTGATGAGAGTGGCGGCGGCCGCGTATTTTTTTCGCCGCTTTTAAAGAGGCGACCAAGGCATTGAATGTTTGTATGCCGCATGGCAGAGCCGCATTAAAATACACGGAACGGAGACATAATAATAACGGCAAGCCCCGGATCATCCAGCATACAGTACGCGACCGACGGACGCCGGCGACGACGGCGTCGCATCACGCATGGCATCGCCGCAAGAACTGATGGGCGAACTGATGGCGGCTCGCGATGGCGGCTCACGGTGGCGGCGACGATGGAGGCGACGGTGGCGACGGGTCCATGCGCCCACTGCAAAGACGGCGCCACCATGGCGCTTCCTCGCTGCAACCGCAAGGTCGTGCTCACAACGACCGTCAATGACATGGTAGTACTGCCAGGGAGATGGAGCTCTGCCATGGCCCCGCTGGAAGGCGTCGCGGCGTCTATGCACGGCGAACTTCAGAAGTGCAGCTGCGCCTGTCCTGGGCATGGTAGGATGCGTCGCATGTGGCAACCGTCGTTGCGAATACCATGGACATGCGAGACGTGAGATGGTAGAGGCGTGCGCGGCGGCAGTTGCGTGAGCTTGTTCGTGCTATGCTTGTCGGCGATACCTACATACGGCGAGCTCGTACAGTACCTGCGGGAGCTGGGCGGCGAGAGGTGCTAAGCAATGAGAGGAGCACGTGTTACTGTCGTTATACACATTACGCGGCCAGCGGCTGGCGGCGAATGATCTCAATCCAGTAGCCGTCAATGTCCTTGATGAACGCGAGACCCTTCATGCGGCCGTCGTCGGGCTTCTTCTGGAACTGCACGCCGAGCTCTTCCATGGCCGCGCACGTCTCGTACACGTCGTCGACGATGAGCGCGAGGTGGCCAAAGCCGCGGTGCGGCTCCGTGTTGCCGTTGAGGTACTCGGCCGGCGCGTTGTCAAACTGGCGCAGCTCCAGCACTGTGCCCAGCTGGTCCGCGAGCCACGTCGGCGACGACGCGTCCTGGACCACCGACCCGAGAAAGTACGAGGTCGACTGGTCGTCCTCGTTGCGCTGCGTGCCGTAGAGCGAGAGGCCGCAAATGCGCTGGTAAAACTCGGCGCTCGCCTTGCCGTCGCGGACGCGGATCATGCTGCGGTGCCACGACGGGTTCGGGTTGGTCGCGGCCGTGCTGCGCTCCTCGATGCGGACCGTGTAGCCGTCCGGGTCGGCGGTCACGAGCGCCGCCTTGTCGTCCGCAGCCACAAAGCCGTCGGCTTCGAGCGCCACGCGCGCCGCACCGAGGCGGCCGGACGGCACCTTGAAGCCGACGTAGCCAAAGCAGCTGAGCGGCGCCGTGTTGCCAGCGTGGTACGCAAAGGCGGGGTCGGCCTCGGTGCCGTGGTTGTGCGTGAGCTCGAGCGTGCAGCCATACTCGCCCGACCAGACGTAGTCGATGGTCTTCTTGGACGCCGGCAGCGTCGTCGTCGGGAGCGAGACGAGGAAGTAGAGGCTAAAGTCGGAGAAGTGCGCCGCATGCGCCAGCGTCATGTTGAAGTGCTTCTCGTAGAAGGCGACGCTCTTCTTCGGGTCCTTCACGCGCAGCATCGTCTGGTTGAAGATGACCGTCTTGAGCGACGTCGCGAGGCGCTGCGAGGCCATCTTGGTCGCAGTCGCAGAATGTGAAAATGGTCTCGCAAGCCACCGCTGGAAGGTTCCCGACTTCAGCGGTTCCAGTTGGTCCGCGGTTCGCAGATGGTATCCGGATACGCTGGCGGTGCTTGTGCAACTCAAAGATTCTTGGATGCGTAGTAAGTCTAGCGGCCATGCCAGCCTTCTCTGGAGCACTTGGATTCACGTGTAGTATTACCTTGGTGGGTGCGATGGCCGGAAAGACAGATGCGCCAGTCGTATTCGTTTCCAGTGGCAGCGTTCCTGGTGAACCAGGTGCATGGGACGTTGGCAGGCAAGTATGTAGATCGATGCTGTCTGCACTGCGCTGCTATTGCTCGTAGGAGCCTCGAGGTTGCACCCAGTGGTATGGTACACGACAGAAAGCTGCAGGACGGCCGAAATGTTGGAGCAGAAATGATGCTTGGATGACGGTGCCCCAAGACTTGCGAAGGAGCGCGCTGGTCAACGAACCGATCAAGGCAGCGCGCCGCGGAGCCAAGCGATAGAAGCAGCCGAGCGGCAATGTGAACGATTTCGACAAGAACCACCCAAAGCGCCGCATCGGTCGGATCAATCCAGGCGTTCGCAGCCGGAAGCCAATAACCATCGTCACGCGTCGGGCTCACTCCACCACTTCAGGTCTTGTTTGTCTCGACTCATGGTCGTCTCAAAACAGCTCAAGCTTCAAGCGTTGGAGGTCCATAACGTTGTCGAAGGTGGCCTCGGTGGTGAGGGCTCCCAGCTCGGTGGCAAGCTTTTCATGTTCGTTGGACGTTGTGTGCATGGTGGTAGAGCCCAAACAACATACTTCGAGTTTCATGACCCTGCTTTCGCTGCTGTTAGCATGGTCTTCGTCCAGCACCGAGCTCAACTGTGCAGTTTGCGTTGTCCGATGGCGCCCCTTGGTATGGAAGACGGAGTGTCGCAAGATGCTGCTGCGCTCACGCCAATAGTACGGTATTTGTATTTGCACTGAAATCAATTCAGGTAAAACTCCATCCAATGTTGGATCGCGGGACGATGCAGCTAGCGGAACCAAAACCAGCGTCGCTTGACGGTGGCTGCAGGTCCTGGAGCGACGCAGCCTCCAATTCTTGAAGCGCCATCTCTCGGTGCATGTCGCCGTCGGGACCTTTCTCGATTTGCTCCATGCTCAGTGTCTTCTTGCAGCCTTGGTAGTCGATGCTCCCCTTCCGCGGCGTCTTGCGGACGTGATAGCCGCTTGCGTCCTCCCGCTCGAGACACAGACGGTCGCTGTGTTCATAGATAAGACAGCGCAGACAGCGCGGGACGGGGCCCGTCATCTTGAGCGGGTAGCTCGTGTCCGACAAGAGGTGGCGGCGTAGCATCGCACATGCGGCGCAGTCGCACGCCACGTAAATGTCGTCGATGGTTGCATCCCACAGCGGGAGAGACGTGCGCGATGCGGTCTTGTGGCATTCCAAGCATGCTTGGACGAGACGAAGCCGTGCGTGCGGCGTCACGACGTAATGCAAAAGGCGATAGATCACGGAGCGGTGGGCGTGGAGCGCCCAGGGTGCCCCATCGAGCTCGCGCAGCACGTTGGTCACGAGCGCGTCGATCTGGCCCGTCGATGTCAATCCGTTGAGGACCGTCAGCAGCAGCTCCAGCTGGACATCGCTGGTCGACAGCGGGCGCTTTCGTATGGCGGCCCGTCGACCATTTAGAGCGAAATACCGCGCGAGATGGCCCGGTGTATCGAGCGACAGTGTGCTACGCAGCAACTCGGGGGCGCGCTGCAGCATCAAAACGACTTCGTTTCGCGCCTCCAGTGACGGGTGCACCGAGAGCACCGAGACGAGGGCAGGGAGCAGCGCGAGGCCGGCGTGGGCGTAGCACGCGTCGAGGAACGTCGCGCTCCATCCACCGGCGTCTTGCATCGCCACCAAGAGCGTTGTGGCCATGACGTCGACGAGCTGGATGGTGCCCCACGCGACGTCATCAAAGGCAGCCGCGGGGGCACAGTGTGCCGCTTTTGGTGCGATGAGAGAAAGGCCGGAGTAAGCGTCCTGCGCGGCCCACACCGCCGGTGTCACAACGGCGATCGGCGGAAACGACGTTGGATGCTGCGCCACAAGAGCCGCAATGCGGCACGCATCCGTCGCGCGAAACGCAGCAATCTCGAGGAGCAGGCTCGTCGGGAGCCGATCGTGGAGCCACGTGCCGGCCACGATCTCGAACGCCGTGACGCGGACGTACTGCTAGATCACAAGACTCCGCGTGAGAAGCATCGTTGCGTCAGCGTACGACTCGATGCGCTGGCGCTCTGCGAGCGACGCATACAAGACGTCCCAGCAGGCACGCATGAGCTCGCCAAGAAAAGCCGCCTCGAGCCGGCGGCAGACGGGCGTCGGGTCCACGCCACCGAGACTCGCGACGAGCTGGAAGACCTCGACGAGATGGGTCTGGCTCCAGCGGCGGAGTAGCGACAGCAACGGCGACAGGAGACGCTCCCAGCCAAACTTGGTCGAGACCGCTTGCATCCAGGCGCCGGCGGTCATAATGGGCACGTCCGACTGGAGCGTCCAGTACGACTCGAGGAAGAGACAGGCGAGGCTCGGGCCCGACGACGAGAGCAGCGCTGCGGCGATCGCAGGGAAAACCGAGCCCCGCGCTTAAGGTACGTAGAGCGGGGTGCGTTGGTCGCCTGTCGCCAAGTGCTGCGGGCTGGGATCACGGTCGCGACAGGCCGCGAAGATCTCGGCCGCGACCACAGCGACGTCCGAGGCTCCGAGAAGGGTGAGTGTGCTGCCGTGCGGGTCGTCGACCGCGCGGACGAGCCACTGAATGGACGTTGGTATCCCTGCGAGGCGCGCGCGGTGCGTCTTGGGCCAAAAGAGCAGGCGCACACCGTGGACATCGCGGCCGCGGGTCATGTGCACCTTGACGCTGGCCACACCTTGCAGCACCATGTCGGGGATCGCAGACGATGTAAAAGTGACCAGCTTCGACTGCAGGGACTGCGTTAGCGCCAAGTCGTAGTCGCCGGTGATGCGCAGGGCGTCAAAGAAGCGCCTATCGTGGCCTTGAAGGAGCTCAAAACAGAGGTCGTCATTGCTAAACTGAAGCGCGTAGCCCATGACCGCTTCGTCGGCTGCATGCGCTTGCCGTGCAGCAGCGCGTAGCAAGTCGATCGCGCGGGCGCCATCGGTCGCCAGCCGTGCGAGGACGTCGTCGTACCGCTCCATCGCGTCGTGCAAGCAAAATGGTCTCTGTCGGTATTCTGTTCCAACACAAAATCTAGAAACAGAGTATAAAACAGAGTTACGCAGCAAATCCACGGCGCATTGGGTTGCGATGCTATGAAATGCACAGGCTACTGTAGCGCATCCACCAAACACCAATGCAATGTGCATATCGTGTACGCTGCAAAAGTCACCGTGTGGTGCAAGTATCGTAGCGAGCGAATTTGTCGAAATCAATCATGCAAGATTGAACATGGCTGTTACGTGCTGTCTTGTATGTTTGATTATCGCATGAGTTTGCGATACCCAGGTGCTGCGAGACACGAGCTACACACCAGAGATCGGGCGCGGTACGGTGGGCCCACCGTGAGATCTGCCGTGAGATGGAGTTGTGGCAGTGTACGCCCAGTGGCAGGGCTAGGGTTTGACACGACCTACAACATCAATCAACCAAACGTGTTCGCGTTAAAATAAAATTAGCATAACCTAACTCACAGACTTCGCATACGTAGTGTTACGCCGGAATGCATGGGAGTTGGCACCAGCACTTGGTCGTTGGGAGTGGGCACGGAGAGATCCATCCCGTGACCCCACTCGCCGAGGGTCAATCATCAGTTCTTAATTCTCTTCTCATTGACGCGCACTGACCGAACGCCGGCAACGGATTAGTCGGCGTCGTCGCGGCGCCATTTCGGCAGCTGAGCGCAGTGAACAAAGAGCTGATGCTACACTGCGCCTTGGGCACGGCGTCGACGCTACAAGTGAGACACGGACAGGCAGCGGCGATCCAAACACACATTGTAAGCTCGAGCATGGCGCTTACAGTCCGTTAAAGAATCATGGGGACCTTGCCTGCGAGGCCTTGCTAGTTGGTGGTGCACGCCTTGAGATGCGCGATGGCGGCCTCGATGGTCACGATGGCCTCGGCCACGTACTGCGCGTCCTTTTCTGGCCAGGCGCCAATCTGCCACGGGGCAAACCCTTGAATGAGTTGGTGCACGTGCCAGCGTTGTGTGTACTCTTCACTGTTTTCGTACTGGAGTGACGGAACGTAGCTCAGAACGTTCCGGTCCTCAAACGATACGTCGACGTACTCGCGCCAGCGAGGCATCACACCGCACCACTCCCAGTCCAGAATACCAGATACCACATTCTGGTCGTCGACGAGCATGTTACGAAACGCAAAGTCTCCGTGGAAGAGCACGATCGGCGACGGCGACATCGTCGTCTCCAGGTACAGTACCAGTGCAGCGCGCGCAGGCGCCACGAGGGATCGAAGCGGCGCCAGCACCTCTGCAGTCAGCGTCTGGCGCACTTGGTTCTCAAAGAGCGTGCGCAGCCAGTCAGCCTCCGAGTCGAATGGGCCCCAGTTGCCGTCAAAGTACGGGCCTACGACCGGGGTTGTCCCATCGTCGTCAAAGACCCAGCCGCCAATCTGAGAGAAGCGCGGCTTTTGGAGCGTTTTCAGAATCGTCTGGATCTGGCGCGCAAGGTCCGCTCGCGTGGCCTCATCAACGCTCTCCCAAACGTCGTCGAGGAGCCGACCCGGCAGCTTTTCCATGAGCATCCAGCGCACGTGCCACGTCGGATCGCTGATTTCGTTGAAAGCAACGAGCTTGGGCACAGGAATGTCGAGCTTCAAATAGCGCACCGCGGCAAGCGATGCGGCTTCTGCAACGATCTTGGTCGCAGGCCACGAGTCTTTGGTGAGCCGAAGGATGTACGAGCGATGGTCCAGCGTTGTCACGACATAGCAGCGGTTGTTGAAGCCGACCTTGACATCCGCGATGGCCGCGACCTCGGGAAACGCGGGCAGTTTGACGCGGATCAGCGCCGTCGCAAGCGTCGTGTCCATTGCTATGTCGACAAAATGCGGCGAGTCGGCGGACGCCATGGTCAATTGCCAACTGACGCACGACGCTCAACGAGAATCGTTGAATGATTTGCCGGCTGCACGTTCCCAGAAAGCGCCCTTGGCGCTGGCGATGCCACGTCATTCGAGAAACTGCAATCGCCCGTGTTGTGTTGGCGTTGACGGTACTAGCGATTTACAATCTGCATGTCTTGGACGATCAACTTTCTAGTCTAAACGGGAGAGGAAGCGCGCCATGAGTGCCAACACTTCAGCAGCTCCAGCGACGGCTATGGCCGCAAGTCAACCGGATCGTAAACAAGCTCTGCGAAGGGCAATGTACAACCCTTCAAAACGACATTGGCTTTGGTGCTGCCGAGGTATCGAGCCGCGTGATCGTACGGATACCGGTTTGGGTCCACGACTTGACCGGACGAGATCGCCCGAGTGCGATCGGTTTGCACAATAGATACTTGTCCGTCTCAACTGTCCACACAAGGGTTCTGTCAACAAGGTGTACTGGCCAGTATGGTCCACGCGCATCCAGATTCTGTCACAACGTCGCTGCACGCTCGACACCAGCATTTAGAGCCCACGAACTACGAACTGCCGGCCAGGGTGCACCCTTGCGCTTGCTCTTCTGAGCTTGCGTAGGTGCCAGAGTGCATGTCGCGTTGGCAGCTCCTCGTTGCCAGTCGAGTGCAGTACGAGAGATGTGCAGGAGAGGTGCAATCGTGCTGTAATAACGGCCCTGCTCTGCCTCGCGTCGACGGCCACGCTCGGCCATCCGGACTCGACGCCGCGCTTCAACTCGTTTTCTATTGCAATCCGAAAGTGCAATCTCAATCTCAAAACGTGTGGGTGCAATTAATTTCGCGGTGCACAATAATAATGCAATGCTGGTTTTGTATGCCAAATGCGTGGAAAATGATAGAACGAATAAAATTGCCTGTGCGCTGCTGGCTCGAATTCCATCGCGCGCTCATTGGTCCATGTGTGCCAATCACAGACGGCGAATCCCTCGTCGTCCGGATACGACGGCAGCTGGCGGTGGCACAGCAAAACAAGCGGAAGCGGCGCCGCGGCCATGGTCTTCTTCAAGAGGCGCAAGGACGAGGTCGAGGCCGTCGATGACGACTTCATGGAGATCATACGCATCGAGCGCGTCGTCAATGAGCTCCTAAAGCGCAAGACATGCGGCAGCCGGTATGGGCTGCGCGACACGGAGAGCGACTCGGTGCAGCCGCCACCGTCCGCAACGAGTGGCGGCCCGCCCATGATGGCCATTGAGCTCGACCAGCCAACGACGACACCGGCCAGCAGCGCGCAGAGCATGCACAACAACAGCCCCGACTTGGACGCGACGCTGTTCTACCGCATGAGCTGCCGCTTCCTGGACCCGTACCTCGAGGCCATCTACCAAGAGTACTGCCTTTTGCACTGGTATGCGCGTGCGCGCAACGTCGTGTGCCTCCTCATTCTGCTGCACGTCGTCTTCTTCCTCGTCTACTGGATGAAGGACGAGCCCAATATCGGTAAAAACAAGATGAACGGCAAGGACCTCTTCGCGCCCAACTACTCCAACCCGCACGAGTACTTGCAGTGGGCGTATTTGCTTCTCGCACTCCCATACCTCTCGTGGTTTGACGCGTCGAGTCCTTTCCGTCGGCGCTGGAAGATGACATTGACGTTCATCCTCCTGCTCTTCATGACCGGCATCCAAGTACGTCGTCGTCGTCGAAATGCTGCGTGGCCTTATCCGTGCTCTGTAGATCTGGTTTGCCTACATGAGCCAAGAGGCGACAATCCGCTTTAACGAAGCGATGCGGCTCACGCAGACCGAGGAAGGATGCAACTCGACCGCCTTTCTTAACATGGACTTTCCGCTCATGAGCCTCAACCTCTACAGCGCGCTCGTCTCGACGGGGTCGGTCTTTGTCATCCTCGTCGGCGCCACGCTCGGCGTCATCTTCCACCTCGATTTCCCGCACGTCGTCTCGCTGCTCGTGCTCTCGATCGTCTCGCTCACCTGCGTCTTGTGCGCGTATGCGCTGACGCCGCAAGCCGTGCTCCTCACGGGCATCACCTTTCCCGGCATCCTCCTCTGCATCACGTGCTACTACTCGGACCGTGCCGCGCGCCGCGCCTTCTTGGCCAAGCTCCACGTCGAGAAAGAGAACGCCGACCTCCAAGACAAGCTGGATGCCGCCGAAGCGATGCTCATGAACGACCCGGCCTGCGACGCCGAGACCGAGGCCGTCAACGGCACACTCAAGTCCAAGCACCTCCAAGTGGTCGCGATCCCATTTGCGGACCTCCAGTTTCTCCAGATCATTGGCCGCGGCGCGAGCGGCGAAGTCATCAAGGTATGCAGTCGTCGCTCGACGATGCCGAATTCGATGCGGCTCGTAGGCGCGGTACCTGGGCACGATGGTCGTCTGCAAGCGCATGCGCCGCGAGCAGATCACCGTGTCGTCGATCGAGCACTTTCGCGAAGAGATTGAGCTCGTGTCGTGCTTAAGGCATCCCAACATTGTGCAGTTCATCGGCGCCAGCTGGGACAACTGCTCCAACGTGTGCATGGTGCTCGAGTACATGGAGCAGGGCGATATGCACAACGTCCTCCACTCGGCGCTCGGCCGCGCGTTCGTGTGGAGCGACCCGCTCTTGAAGATGGCGGTGGATGCAGTCCAAGGCATGCTCTATCTGCACTCGCAAGGTACCATTGCGTCGCCATTTTGAGTGTGCCCATGGAGGTTGCACAATGTAGAACCGCCGGTGATCCACCGCGATCTCAAGAGCGTCAACCTCCTCTGCTCGGCGACCTTTGGCTGTAAAGTGAGCGACTTTGGCTTGAGCCGGCGCTACAAGAAGGACCTCGACGCGCTCACAACTGTCGTTGGCACGCCGTTCTGGCTCGCACCCGAAGTCATTCGCAACGAGCGCTACGGCATTGGCGCAGACGTCTACTCGTTTGGCATCGTCCTCACGGAGCTCGAGACGCGGCAGACACCGTACCACGAGATCAACGAGACGGGGCTCAAGGTCATGATGCGCGTCGCACGGGACGGACTCCGGCCGTCGCTGCCCAACACGTGCCTGCCGCAGCGCCGCCAGCTCATCGAGGACTGTCTCCGCGATCGCCCGTCCGAGCGCCCGAATTTTGTCGAAGTGCTCTTGCGTCTCCAAGGCGAGGTCCGCGAAGAGATCGAAGCGGACGCCGAGCGGTTCGCGCAGGACCGGCGCGCGCTCCTGCGGCAAAAAGCCATGTTTGAACACGCCTGTCGCAACGGCGGCTACCAGCTTGTGTAGGCCCCTCCTCGTCTTTAGTATTTATTCCACCACCCATGTAATAGTCCCCGATTTTGACATGTAGAACGTGTCTTCTCCGACCGACACGCACATGGCGCGAAATGCAGCCAACTTGCTACCTATGGGTACCGATAGCTAGCGTCGCATCACGAATGGTTGTCGGTCTCATTGTTGTTGTTGAAGTGAGTCTAATTAGATATAACTATTTACACTGAACTGGATATGGTGGAGGACTAGCGATTCCAAGGTGCTACGACGAGCCGGCGGCCGAGAGGCTGAGCGGGAGACGTGGCGTGTGAACGGCACATGTCGGAACAAAGTTGTCGCGTAGCTATGTGTCGTGACGCAGGGCTGCCATCATTTGGAAGAGACACAATGCTTGAGTGCTCAGCAGCAAGTGTTGGAGGTGCAGCTTGGTCAAGAACGCGGCTCGATGGGCGGCTGTCGCAGTCGTCACAAGGGGCGCCTCGGGGCGAAATACTCGGTCGTTGCGGGCAAGCCAGACGGTGTGGAGCACGCACGCGCAGAGGATCGGTAGCGTTGGGCTGTCACGAGCGGTTCAAAGAGGAGCGCGCAAAGCGTCGTGGGAAGTTCGAGGGCGTCGACGAGCGGCTGAAAGACCGCCCGCACGGCAGTGACAAATTCGCAACGAAGCAGAAGATGGTCGTACGTCTCGAGGTCGCCGCAGACGGGACATACTTGGGCGTCGTCGGCCAGAAAGTAGAGCCGGGGGCAGATCGCGACTGCGCCAAGCATCACACGGTACATTAAAGCAGCGTATCTCGGCACATTAAAGCAGCGTATCTCGGCAGGATGTGCTCGGGTTGGCGGTACTCGACTGCTGCATTTACCATGGCCGGCGTGGCATGGTGGTCGTCGGGGAGATTCAGTCTCATCGTCAATGCGGACAGGACCGTCGGAAGTCTCTTCGCATAGGAGTGGCCACACGAACGCTTTCGAAGAGAGCGCGAAAGGACCAAGGTTCGTGGTATTTCCTTGGACAGGACCGACGCTACATCGATGTGGACGTGCTGCGAGAGGCAGAGGCCAGCTTGAAGATGGCGAAGCGCACGCAGATAATCTTGAACGCTGCACCCTTGCGGCCTCAACAACCGCTTGTTGCGATCCCGCCACATACGCGTTACACCGCTGCGTCGCTCGCCAGTACCTGCACCTGCGTTTGCGCGTGGCGAAGCGGCGCTGCCAGCTCATGCGATGCGATGCTCATGCGCTGGCGCTGGGCGGGCGACGACGCCACTTGGCACCGAACTGGCGGCCGACGCCGGCCTCGCGAGCCTTCGGACGTGCGACATGCCCCTGCCGGCGGCAGGCCAACTTCAAGAACCACCCCACCTTGCTTGCCGTTGAGACGTTGATTGGCTGACTTTTACCTTATGCGACACGCTCGCATCCGCACTTGCTCCGTCTTTCTCTTGGTATTTGTATGTTTCGTACTTAACGGAACAACGGCAGCGGATCCGATTGGCCGCAAGAGTGGGATGACGTCATCCGAGCGCGTGGGGCGGCGTTGAGTTTTCACTTTGGAATTTCCCTCGAAGCCCTCAACTCAGTTCTATTACCATGGCGTCGCAACTCGACCAGCTCAAGCACCTCACGACCGTCGTCGCCGACACGGGCGACTTTGCCTCGATCGCCAAGTACCAGCCGCAGGATGCGACGACGAACCCGTCGCTCCTCTTCAAGGCCGCGCAGATGCCCCAGTACGCCGACCTCGTCACGGATGCGATCGCGTATGGCC